AAAAAATACCCCAGCACGTAAATTATCACCGGGGAGCCGTAATATTACACAACAGAAGCCTTATTTTTATCTGCGGTAAAACCGCCTAATTTTAAATGCATAGATTTTCCCAAATATGGATGTAAAAAAATCTAAATACATGTATATCTACTGGCTATCCAGCCCCGTCGGTGTGGTCACCCAAACAAGAATACGGTTACCAGGGTTATGTGTAACCCCGCTACAAAACTCCGACCGCGACAGAATCGTTAGATTGTATATTAGAGATAGTGATTATTATTGGGAAGTCATCACGTCTCTAAACTGTACTATGGACAAACTTATAAATGATATTGGTGTCTCACCACATTATCTCGATCAATCAATTATCAAGTTGATAGTCACCATTCACGAGGCTCAAGCAATGAGATCGAACAATATTTCAAGTTTGAGTTTACATTCAAGTTATGGCTCAAAAGTAAGGGCAAGACCAGTGAAACTGCCTGTTGGTGCTAGCTAGAACAGCGAGTGACGCGGGACCTGACATGCAATTGCCGCTCGCAACTCGGGTGGCGCTTGGCTATTATATGTGTTTAACAAACGTATCGTCGCAGAAGCAATGAACACCGTAACGAGTTTAAATGCGCTTTTGAATGGTGTAAAGATAGAATCTATCCTCAAGATGTACCGCATGACATGATGCAGCATCAATAATGAAGTGCAGCGTGAAAATTGTAAGCTAACAGCAGATATTGAGTGTGTGATGGGCATGTGCTGTGTCTGATGCATCTAGTTAAGAACCTCCATTTCACTGTCAATGCTATCACTATCGTAGCTCGTACTGCTGACGTCAGTTGGAATGTGTAACAATGTAACCAATAGGTCTCCATAGTTGGCTTCTGTGTCAGTGCGAATCCGCTCTTCAAGCGATCGCCCGTACAGCTTCTCGTATAGCTGCTCAACGCGCGGCTGCATCCCGTGATAACGAACTACAGCTGCACTAAGTGCCTTCTCATCTTTCCGAAGGCACTTCAGAGAACGATTGTAGTGGTCGGCGATCGCCGCGTACGGTTCAAGCGCTAGGCGGACTTCACAGAGAAAAGCGACAGCATTTTTAATAATTAGCAAGTGGCTTCACGGCAGTATTAGATGTCTCAAGTCAATTCAATTCCTACACTTCTGATTGAAAAACAAAACGCACCGTAAAACACAAGAGCCTCGGATGCGAGGCCACTAAACTCGCTGCATACAACCTCCTCCAGGGTTCTCACGAACTTTTTCTTATAAATGTCGTTAACTAACACGACGTGCTCGCGCGGGCTGGAGAATAAAATTCGGATGAATGTCGTTTCGTCTGTACCCCAGCGTCCTTCGCCGACATCGTACAGCTTGATAGCATCGGACTTAGCTCTTTCGTACGTGTGAATTGTGGGGTCATATGGCACCTGCAAGCGCTACAGTGTCGAAAACTGCATAATTACGGACGTCACAGTAGTTAAGAAATTCCATGCAATATTTACCTCAAGTGCCAACAAAATGATCTTGCGATAATCACCGCTTAGCTCCGAACGCATAAGCCAAGTTAAATCTTTGTTAAAGATGTAGTAGTATGTCGACTTCAGCATCGAAAGCTCTTCGTTCGTGCGTCCAAGCAAAATCTAACTAACATACTTTGTCAGTAAGTTAAATGCAGATGTTACTTTAGCGGAGACTATAATACCGGGTACAATTGTCGCTCCCTTGTGCCGCTGCCTGACGTTGCAACATTTAGTACGAACGCCTCCATTTCTGGTAACGGCATAGTGAGCAGAAGTACCAGGAAGCGGAAGTGACCTCTGGTGTCGCGGCGTAGCGTGTCCTTTAGTTCCTCGCGATACAAGTCCTTGTAGCGGTAAATGACGAGAGATCGGTCGCTAGTTGATAACGAGCTGAGCGTATTTACGAGTACATTTTCATCAACACCGAGAGCATCCGTTGCATCACGAATTCGCTCACATGCGTTATCAATCTCACGTGGATACACCAGCGGCACACCACGGAACACATCGTGCGCGTGTTGGGGAAATATATGCTGCATCGTTTACTATCGTTTGGCTACGCTGTAATCGCGCACTGTGTCAAGAGACCAGTTATCGAGTCATTCATGGGGAGTAATTATTTAAAAAACGTTCTTAAGAAATCAAGTACGCGAGTATTTATTGCTTTATTTAAAAACTCGATACCGTAAATTTTAGACACGAAGGATAAGAACATCACAATTCTCTCGTTTAAGCAAAGTTGCCTACTGGACGTGGAGCTTCCAGCAAATGTAGCAGTAGCTCCTGGTACTCACCGCTGGTTTCTCCTTTAATGCGGTCTTGCAAAGTCATTTTATACTTTTTCTCATAGACCGGCATGACGTAACCCAAATACGAATTGTAGCGCACGATGGCAGCGCTGAGAGCTGTTGAGTCAGTGCCAATGCCAGCCATGGTACCTTCAATGTGTTCGGCAAGAAAGGGCCATGCATTGAGACTGATTCGGACTGTAAGTAGAATATTATTGCATGAGTTAGTTATGAAGGGTTTTTTAAAGAACCAGGCATGCTTACCGAAAAAAGTGAGAGCGGCGCAATCGCTTCCGCTGAACTCGCTCTCAATGACATGGACCAAGTCGTGCTTGTATTTTGCTTGGTAGGCTGCGTCAATGTTACGGAGATGTTCGGGTGGACTCGAAAGCAACACTTTCAAAAAACCGTTCTCATCGGTGCCCCACTTGCCCTCGCCGGCTTTATAGATGAGCTCAGCGTCTTCAGCTGCCTTCTCTTTCGTATGGAAAGAAGCCTTATATTCCACCATTGGCTCCTAATAATGTATGTGCAGGTAAGCTAACAGATAAAGGTTCTAATAAGAAAAGAGGTTGGCTTACTTGAAGCGCTTTCATAATGACAGCCAAGAAGTCGCCGCTGATCTCGTCGCTGATAGCGACAGAAAGATCAGTGTCGTACATATCGTAAAAGGCCTTTTTCAGAAGACCAATCTCTTCGTTGCTGCGACCCATGAGGACTGAGTAGAGAAGATGGTCTGAGGTGCCAGCTCCTTTCATAGCGTGAAATACAATGTAAGCTTCGGCTTGAGGTAAAGAGAAGGTGATGAGCTGCAATAGGTAGCCAAAATTGCCCGATGTTTCGCCTTTGATGAGCTCGCGCAGTGTCTGGCCATGCAAGTCCTTGTACCGCAAGGAGACAAGCGCACGGTCGTTAGGTGACAGCGGTCCAATAAGCTTTACAAGCGCCTGGTCGTCTGTCCCGATGCCATCGCAGGCCTCGTGGATTTTCTCTACAATCGCATCGATGGAGGCCGAAAAATGAGTCTTATCCTTTTTATAGGCATCAAAGGCCGACGGAGGGTAGAGTCTCAACATTTTGAGGGAAGATCGGAGGGGAGGGTGTAAGAAGGTGTGTGGTTGTGCTGCCAGACGGCAAATTGAAAGATGATCTAGAATTGATCAAGTGCTAGTGTCGAGCAAAAGAATCCAGTGAACAGTAGGTGATGTAATTATTTCTTTATATGATGCCCACTGTAAGTCCTAGATATTATTGTCCAAGATACTTCTGCTAATATTCTAATGAAAAAAGTATCTTGGACAATTACTCTCCCAAATCAATGACGTCATAGTTCAGTCTTTAACGAGACGTGATTGGATAATATTAATATACTAATATATTCACTGACAGACTCAACACGTCTGCATGGCGGAGAAGAAGCTACCCATCGATATTCAGTCCAAGCAGCTCGTAGGTAGGGTCCTACCAGGCTATTGCTCGACAATGCAGTGAGAAATTCACTGATTTTCATTGCAGAGGCGTTAGTAGATCGCCGTATTGTCCCGCACGATTGGCCCAAGCAATACAAGCAAATCCGCGACGCTATTGCAAGCTTGTACCAAGATCTGCCGCTGGCCACTGAAGCTCTTTCCGATTTTCGCGCCAGGAAAACAAACCACGAAAAGATTAACTATTTTGATTGCAAGCTGATTCTTCAATATCTCGAACAGTCGGATGAAGGTGCAGCTAAGAACATTTTTGGTCAGGTGCGAGAGACTTCAACAACAGCAGTGTACGCCAAAAAAATTATTATTCCACAATGATTTTTTTCGTAGTACACATCACCCATTATAAAACGGTGGAGCGCTCTGATCCGGCAGTATGAGAAAAATAACATCTTTGCGGCCGAGACGGCACGCATCCTCACCCAGAACACTGTGTTTGAGATGTATGTTTATATCGCGGCAGTGGTATTGCTCACAGTGGCAAACCAGTGCATGAAGGCTGATACAAAGTGTTGTGCTGAGTGATGTAGTCCGTTTTACAAGAAATTCATCCAACAGAATGAAAAAGAAGTTGTAGACAATAATCGCAAGATCGTGGTAAGCTGACGGTCTATTTAATGGCTTATAACTTGTATGATATAATTAATGCACTCTCTAACGTAGGATTTGACGAAAAGTATTGTGGAGTACAAACGTAAACATCAAGCTTATTGCGCTAACATGGGCATCGAGGTACTTGACAATGTCTTTCTGAAGGATATTATACTTACTTGGACATGTATTGCAACAAGAATAGGGAGTAAACATTCGTGAGGAATTACGTCGTTTGCCTCTGGAGCTACCGTCCCTTTTTCATGGTGTGGCGACGGCTATCTGCTGCGAAGAAATTTGTGATGCAATTGAATATCACCAAGCTCTTCAGGTTTATCTTCACGATAGTGAGGTTTCTGCTTCAGCAACAGAGTCAGACAAATCCGCCATAATTGTTACGAAAAAGGACAAGAAGACTAGAAAGAAAGGCAAGAAGCAGATTGAGTTGGCTGGAGAACCCGAAATAAAGGCCGAAGAACCGTATGAGCTTATTGCTGCCTCGCATAATTTTTTTTTTACGATGGAGAAATTGCGCAATGCGAGCGATGAGCTGGTAGAATCTGCACCCACGCTTGATTTCGAGGCGGAGGCTGCAGATATTATTTGGGATATCTCAATTGACGACACCGGCACGGCTGATGCTGACGAGATCGATTGGGGTATTAGATCGGTCGCGTCTGTTACGGCTAGTTCTACACTCGACGATGTTCCTGCCGAAATTGATTGGGAGATCACAAGCTCTGATGTGCTGGAGCCTATTGGCGAAGGCGGCCCTTTCAAAACTGTCGAGATAATGGACTCTGCTGAAAATGCATTTGCTACGACGGAAAAGCTCACTCGCGTACAACTTTTAGCAAACACTGAATTTCGTACGTGCGCACTCAATGATCTTTTAGAGATCCATGCATTCCTCTGCCAGCGGCTGTCTGAATTATCTGGGAGTAGTTCTGTTGCTTTTGCCAATCAGTTTCAGGGATCCTCGAGTAAGAAACGCATGTCGTTGCTTTAAGTAAATCTGACTTAATGTTCTTTATGAATTTCGAACAGCACTATTGGAACAGCAGAGCACGGATAAAATTGAGGAGCTGCTAGCTGCTACAAATCGGTCGATATCGTTGCTAACAAGCAAGCGCCTTCGGCAATTGGTGCTTATAAAGTCCTCGGAGCGATATTTAGACAGGCATGTGGCCAATATAGAGGTTCTCACCAAGCACATGGACAAGTGCCGCCGTGAAATCTCTAATTTGGAGGACAAGAATGTTAGTCTCATTGATGCTAACAGAAGCACTCAGTCTCAGATTAATGCTCTTATAGCCGCAACAAAGCAGCTCAAGAAAAATGTAAGCGGTGAAGTAGTAAATATGCTGCGATGTCGACTGTGGACTCTAACGTATATGTCGGGTTTGTGTAGCTGGAAGGTGCACTACCACCACTCTTTAAAGGACACAGAGTCAACATTGTTGGCGAGGTGAACACCTTATAATCACTCGTTTATTGCTGCTGGAACATAAATTCCATAACCATCTAAAGCAATGGAAAAACTTTGCAATTCCTTATACTACGTAGTCGATGCTGTTGCTTACCTAGGTGTAAATTTACAAGTATTGCATTCACGCTATCACAAGAGCAATCCAGATCGTAACTGCAGTTGCCCCCGTTGCCAGCCCAGAAATATAAGTGGATAGAGAGCCCGATACATTGTCGCCGATTTTATCAGAACCAGCTAATGTGCTCTCGCTACTGTCGTCATTCCCTACAGAGCCATCTAAAAACATGTCTCTTCCGGAGCCCGAGTAGCTCATGGCCAGATTGTCGGGCAGAAGAATCATAAATGGCGTTGGTGCTTCTGCTTTATTAGTCAAGCTTGTAGACGATCCCGAAGCAAGAGGCTCCATGGTTGACGAGTTGACACTTTGTGTACGTCGTAACCCATTAGTAGCCGCATTGTTTGAGATCTCCGCATGAGCATGAGCTTCCGACTGAAAGCCAATGACGCAGACCGGGTCTAGCGATACGATAGCGAAAAGTGTAACAATGAACTGGAACGACTTCATAGCGATGGTGTTTGAGCACTGTCGTTTTCGAGAGAAAATTACTAGATGCGGTTTAAATGGAAGAGCAAAATGATTTTGATACATTTCGATAGAGCTCTTCTTTCTGTCATCATCGTCGTCGTCAACCCTCAATCAAGTAATATTGCAATCACACATCATGAGTTGAAATTGGTTGTTTGGTAGCTCCAATGTAATCGTATGTCTCTCCGAGGAGCCTATCTACTGTTCATAAAGAAGGAGCGATTCCCCTACGTTAGAATTGCGATTTGTCCGTCAAGGTACACAAAAATGTAAAAAATTCGAGGTCATCGAACATTGAAATTGGCTTATCTCGTAAGTCTTGGTTGAATTCTACTTTTCTTAGCTTGGAGAACCCAAACAAATGCTAATACGGGGGTGGGTGGCCACTATGGTGCTGTAAGGTTGGTGCAGCAGCGTAAATGGATGGATAGCCTAGCTGCTCGGGTTGACCATTGTGTTTCTGGTATGGCTGCGCAGATTGTTGCGGCACAGGATATTGCTGTTGCCCATAACCCGTGTACTGTTGTTGAGAATGAGTCGACGTTTGCTGACCATGAGGAGTAAATTGCTGGTGACTTTGACCCAAATTTTGCTGCAAGTGAACGGCCGACCCGCCATGCTGCTGATACTGACTTGTAGGGTAATATGGTTGTTGATACGGTTCGCTAAGAGGGTGCTGCTGTCCAGGTACCGCATACTGCTGATACGGCTGACCTACAGGTTGAAGACCACTTACTGGATACTGATGGTATGATTGGCCTGGAAGGTGAAGTTCTGGCACACTATAGTGCCGATAATATTGACTTTGACCTCCAGAGGTCGGGTATTGCTGATAAGTTTGATCTGGGGGCAGCTGTAAATGCTGTTGATAATGAGGTGAAAATTGCTGGTACGGCATGATTTGAGGTTGTTGCCCAGGCAACGGATGCTGCTGATACTGTTGGACAGGAAATTGTTGCCCTGGAAGTGAATTTGGCTGCAGAAGCGAAGAATGGCCGGATGCTGGAAAATTGGGTGTCTGTTTGTGATCTGCGCTTTGACCAGAGTAGCTGTTATTACTGGAAGAGACCGCCTGATGCGAATTTGACGTCAGCAATAAATTTTCACCAACGTGAGTAGATGATGTTTGAAGTAGTATCGATCCATTTGGTGCTTGACCAGAAACGGCTTGGGAAGGTAGACCATGAGTATACTGCCCTGTCGGCACAGGGTAAGCAGGAGCGCTTGCTGGAAAATTGGGTGTCTGTTTGTGATCTGCGCTTTGACCAGAGTAGTCGTTTTTACTGGAATTGACCACATGATGCGAATTCGATGTCTGCGATGAATTTTCACCAAAGTGAGTAGATGAAGTTCGTGATGGTATGGATCGGTTTGATGCTTGAGCAGAATCAGCTTGAGAAGGAAGACCATGAGCATGCTGCCCTGCTGGCACAGGGTAAGCTGGAGCACCTGACTCATGTCTAGCACTTGCGTACGGCTGCAGAAGCGAAGAATGACCGGATGCTGGAATATTAGGTATCTGTTTGCGGTCTGCGCTTCGACCAGAGTAGCTGCTATTACTGGAAGAGACCACCTGTTGCGAATTTGATGTCTGCGATAAATTTTCACTAACGTGAGTAGATGAAGTTTGGGATAGTATCAATCCATTTGGTGCTTGAGCAGATGCGGCTTGGGAAGGTAGACCATGAGTGTGCTGCCCTGTCGGCACAGGATAAGCTGGAGAACTTGCTGGAAAAATGGGTGTCTGTTTGTGATCTGCGCTTTGACCAGAGTAGCCGTCTTTACTGGAATAGACCACATGATGCGAATTCGATGTCTGCGGTAAATTTCCACCAAGGTCTGTAGAAGAAGTTATAGGTCCATTTGGTGCTTGAGCAGAAGCGGTTTGGAAAGAAAGACTATGAGAATGCTGCCCTGTCGGCACAGGGTAAGCTGGAGCACTTGACTCATGTCTAGCACTCAATGTAGGCGCAGTTGACCGCTGAGACAATTGATTCTGTCTCGCTCCTGTGTAGGCCACACTTTCTTCAATATAGAGATCAACCCCACTCGAATCCGTCATTTTACTCCCAAGCGGGTCGCGAGGTGCATCAAATACTTTTAGCAGCAACTTTCTGTAATCTCCGCTTGTTTTCCTGCTGATTCGATCACGAAGCTCTTCAGAATATCTTCTCTTGAATGCAGCCTTTACATAGGGTAGCACTGACTGAAATCGCACAAGCGTCGTGCTCAACCCCATTTCATCCGTTTCAAAGCCATTCATTGTCTTCTCAAATAATTCCGCGATCGTGGGATACGGGTCGAGAGTAAAACAGATAAAATATTTGAGACTCTTTTTTGCATCGCCGCTAAATTCCTTTTCAACAGCTTTGACGATGTTGTTTTTATATTTGGCAACATAAACGGCGTCTATCAACTTGAGAAACTCGGGTGGAGCTTTGACTAAAATATCGATAAAAGCTTCTTCGTCGGTCCCCAGTCTTCCTTGACCTGCTTTGTAGAGTTCAACAGCTTCCTTCTCAGCCTTGGCAGCGTTATGAATAGCCAGGTTGTACGGCACGCGAGAGGACTGCAACACGGCCATGATCACCTCGCGGTAGTCTCCGCTGAGCTCCGAATCAAGCACAACAGCCAGGTCCTTACCCATAAGATTAAAATAAGAGCGCTTTAAGATATTCATCTCCTCATTCGTTCTGCCCGCCAAAATCTGAATGATAAGACTCTCAGTTGTTCCCATACCTTGCGCGGCGTCACGCAAAATCTGCGCTTCTGTTTCAGGCAGAGGCGTGGAGATCATGCAAAGCAAGCGACCAAAACCACCCGATATTTCGCTTTTATAAAGAGCGTTCAGCGGTTGCTGATGTAACTCTTTGTAGCGCAGCAAAATCAGATTGCGCGTTTCTAGGGACATGGAGCCCAGTACTTCGATCAGGGTTTGCTCGTCTGTGCCGATACCCTTGCACGCGTCTAGAATTTGCTGAATAGCTTCATCAATCTCACGTGAATATTGTATACTCATACCTTGGTAAGCATCGTACGTTGACGCGGGATACAGCTCAAACATCATACGGACAGCTAAGAAGTTTTAATGACTTTACATAATTGCATATTTCCTTGTTGCAATAATATTTCACAGCAACTAAATTTTTTTTAAATAAAGGTAGAAATGGAAAGAAAGAACTGAAACTCAAAAAATAAAGAAGAAAAGCCTAGCTCGTCCATTGTAATGAAAAAACTCTCAATTCAAATAATCATTTTTTTGCTTTGCTGAAGAAATGTCACGACGTATCAACAAGAGACCCACCACACCGGATCGAGGAGTGCGTCATTGGATTAGTTTGGTTCCTGAAACCAAATACTCGCCTCACGACCCTAGCAAGAAAGCGATGTGACGTCATAAACACTTCTGACGTGCGAAACATATGGAAATTTATCATACAAGTAATCTTCTAAATAAAAGGCAGGTACTGTCATTTTGTGGACATAACCCTTACACATTTTTTTACGATTGTATTCATCGTCAAGTATAACTGTATGACTTTCATCAGCTTTTCATCTGCAACCGCAAGAGTCACGCCGACGCAAACCAATTAAATACGTCGTGATCTCGGTCTCAAATCATCTATAGTCGATGACACGCCAATGTAAGCTGGAATTTCCCTCACACCAAGCGCACAACATATTACAGTTGACCCAAGGATAACTGCAAGAAATATGTATGAGCTAACCGAGGTGATTAGTTTACCGAGTTTCCTGCGAATTTGTTTTTTGAAGAGCTGATCTGCGTTGCAAAATTACATTTACAATTAATATACCACCAGCACGTTCAACAAATGCGCAGAGGCTCGAGGTCTGCAATCAAAAGGCCAAAATAAGTGGATGAGTCGAAAGTGAGCTTGCGACATGGGCTACTCATAAGTTGACGTTGGAATCACTCAATCTGCTTCTAGCAGCATCCTTAAAAAAGTCGCGAACCCGAAGCCCTTACGGATGTTAAGCTTTCGGCCAAACGGCCTTGCGATGCACATCACCCCCAGCTAGATGAACATGTCTGCTTCAATGCCAGACAAGGCATGTAGCAATCATTGAAGATCTCATCAAAACCAACGCAAACGCCTTTGCTGACCGACTTGGCTTGCGCGAGGATGCAAGCAAATATCCCAATTGGTGGCTGCAACGCTTTCAAGAGAGGAACAGGCTGTGTTGCATCAGAATCCATGGTGAGAGTGGTGAAGCAGATCAGGCAATCAATCGATGCTACCCTTCTTGCACTTTTAGCAGTCATTGCCCGGTATGAGCTGAAGGATGTGTTCATCATGGATGAAAATGGTATGAATGTTAGCAGCGTACTTTACTTTAATTGATGTCTTCGTAGCATTTTTTCACTCCATGGTTCCAGAAACAATCGATGTATACGCGGGCTGCTAGCCGCACGTCAGAAAACATAGGCAGTCAAATAAAGAGAAATAGCAAAACTTACTTTAAATGTCATAATAGAATTTAATTTGACCTTGACATAGGACGGGCAAAATTGTGGCTAAGTTATACTTTCGGCTTCGCTAATGATAGGACCGCACGAAGCCATCCGATTTTTGTTTATATTTATCCGGATTCTGAATTCTCAAGCTTTGTGCGCAAAGCAAACGTGGTGGCATCCGTAGTCAACTGACTTAACGACCGAGTCGTAAACGAATTGTATCCTTTGCTTCTGTCGTGAATTTTTCTAGCACTTGTTCACGGAATAAATTGACGGCCTATACAAACTTTTGTACATCTTGGATCCCGACGGGTTCAATGATCCGGTGACCAAAAGGCCGCAAGCGGTAATCGCACCGTGGATGTGCTTGCAAGCATTGCGAGATGTGTTGGTAAGGCAGACCTTGGGACATCTCGATCCGGCGCTAGTGGAGGAACAGGTGATTCGCACATTGGAGCTGCTGATGTTGATCGACAAGATGTTTTGTGATAAGCGACTGAAAAAATCACTTTTCTGGATTATAGAAGCTGGGATGGCCATGTACTCGATCTTGCTCAAAGTGGAGCCACAGTAAATCGTGCGCGAGAATGGGCACTAATGTTCAGGAACTCGGTAAAAAGGCGCCCAACAGAGACGGTTCAAAGCAAAAGATGTCGTGGATGTTTGCAGCGCCTAATCAGATATATCGAGTGCGTTCAAGGATCTTAGGACGGTAAAACCTGGTGGGCTATGAGAGAGCACCTGTCGTACAATTGATGTTTGTCCACATTACGGAGTTAGTACTATCGGAGAGTCTTCGACCGCTTTCGCACCAAGAGGTCACACATTCACCCTCTGAATATGGACCCAATATCTGCGACTTTTAACGGGTACGGTCGATAATAGTCGAAGATTGTTACTTATTTTTTTGTAGCATCTGAAATCTTTGACAGGGTAAAATATATTCTATGCAACACAAAGATCCAAGTTTTGATCGTGTTCCGCCCACAGCGCGGGTGAAACGTCATTCGTCCTGGATAGACCGTAGGCTAAAAAGATTCGAGGTAGTCAAAGTGAATCTTTTATGAATCTTTAAATCATATTCAAAAGCGGAAGCCCTTTTGGAGCAGGTACAAAGCGGCGACAGCTGCTATGCAGAAAATCGGATTTTTAGAAACAGCTGGTTGCAATATTGCTACTTTTCCTGACCAAATTCAGAATGAAGAAGCGTCAGTGAGCTGCAGCCCCAAGATGAGATGATTTCTAACCACTTAATGACGTGCACTCTAAAGGTCAACCATTAATGGTATATATAATCATGCAGATGTGGGCGGAGCTCTTCTGCTACTAGTTTTCTGTCGAGACAAATACAAGCGCTTGTGCGTCACAGTGACTTAGTTCCTAGGATTTCAGGCCAGACCCTGCGGGACCAGACAACTCGGAAGAGAACCGGGCATTGAAGTATGATTAATTTGTTTTCGTCACGTTTTGTTGATACTGCTGAGTCAACCTGGTCTGTATGACACAACTTAATGGCTCAAGAGACATCTTTTTGCTACAAAGCAGATCCACTGATTTGCAGCGAAATGATTTCTCTCTTGTGAAAGGAGTGACCAGTTTGGCCTTAGAGGTAACGCGGTCACCCAACCTGGTGTGATCACATAATTGTTTGGGTTTCACAAGATGGTGTGACCACACAATGGTGTGGCTGCACTTAAATAAGAAATTAGTACGTGGCTGGATCAGCCAATATTGAACATTAAATTAGGTTTTACTATATAGATATAGATTTAGATACAGACGGCTTTGCCGAAGAGAAATCCCATTAACACAGTTTACATTTTAAACGGAAGATCTATCTAGCCTTGTATTATGGTTGTAGTTGCTCTTGGAGTAAGCGGATTGCGATCGCTACACTCGTACTGGATCTAAGTATAGAAGGTCGCCGACCTTAACTAGTCTTCCTCTAAGCGAAAGAGCAACGGCAGCCCCGCTGCATTGGGAAACATGAGTCTCGCCTGACCATTTCTCGCAAAAGGTCTCATTGAGCTTGAGTCATACTAAAAGATGCGCTTTAGAACTTAGTCTGAATAGTTCGAATGCTACATGTTTATGTATTAATATGTCAAGCAATATGATGATATATAGACCGCATTATGAACTATCAGCCCACCTGTTCAACATGCTTTCCCTTCACGAATTCCAAACGTCCTTAATCTTTACCAGGACTTTCGTACTTTTGAGCTATGCTCATATGCGTTTTAGCACAAATCGGGAGTATCCCAGATCGGCCCTGCTATACAATTGTTAACCACCCTGAGCTTACGCTTTGTTGCCTTTGTAAGCCATCGCGCAAGTGTCAACGCTAAATGGCCACCCACTCTGGTTAGCGTTAAACTCTACCACTTGCTCCTTACGATCCCTGCTACTACGATCATCTTACATATCAAAATCTCGATAGCTTGCTTCCGTGGCTCAACGATCAACTGCGAAAGACGACGAGGGCGAAGATATTCGCGATCTAATCATCGGAGGCTTCTATGATGAGAATAATCATGACGACCTTCCAAGTCTCGACATGGTACCTTTATCCTCATAAAAAAATACGGTCAACATGTACAGTTCGAAAGAAGCGATCCATACGTCTTGTTTTAATTCTGCACAAATTGCCCCGTGATTCCTTCCTACAACGCTAATTACAGCGAAAAACCCGCTGCAGAGCTCATGGCATGTCCAGCTCGTTTCTTATGAGCTGGATCCACCTAAGTATGTCAAGATTATTACCCGTCTTACAGCGCACAAATCAGACCAGCTTCTGCAAATACCTTCATATCGTGATATTTTTTGATATATGAAGTTGCTCCGCACCGTTACACGCCAGTATATACGGGTGTTCCGCCCAAAATGAAGAGCGACACGAGCAAATGAAAGTTTCTTCACTAGCGCTTTCGAAGCCTGAAAATCGCATAAACTGCTTAAAGCTACCCGTGCCTCGAGCAGCAACGGTAGGGGAATACCTACAATCTTTGAACTGTAACATGAATACAAGGCACTGATATAGTGCCTAAGACTATCGCACTCAACTAAGGCTTTAGTGGTGAATATATGTCTTTAGTGATACAGGCATGAGTTTGGAATTTTGTTGATGCCTGGCTGCAAAGTTGAAAGCACGATGTGAGCTTGGAGGTGAGTACTTGTCACTTCAGGTTTGTTGTAAACAGCACTACTTGAATCTGCTGGTAAAGTCATCGCTCAAATACCAAACTTGTAACGAAGCTGCGATTCATTCACTAATGAGAAGTGCGTCGAGCTGCATTTCTCTTTCTTTTCTGCCGAGAAGGGAATACCGAGGGTGCGCCAAGTCGTTAACGTCAATGGCTCTGGGCAATCTTACCGACGCTGGACCTCAAGCTAGAGAGGTTTCAAGGTGAGAGTATCCCTCTCTACTTGTTCATCAAACGAGGACGAAACGGTGAAATAGCATTTATTATGGCCAATTAGGCCTTAAATTTCTCTAAACTGATAAGGCATCCAATGCTGATCTAACATAATTTGGGAAGATACAACTATGAACGATAAAAAGTTATTGTTAGCCTCACACAGAACTATAC